ACTATATAAAATTCTTTAAGAACAATCTAAAGAATTTTATATAGATAGCAAAACGTTTTTTAAAGATATCTTGGCATTCACAAGGCCGATTTGGATTATTTAACTACCATTAGATTCGTCTCGATGAGCTCTACAACTTTAATTAGAGACACAAAAATGATTAACTTAGTGTAAAAAAAAGTTTTCTTTGGACAATTACTAGAAAATTTCTACTTTCGCATCTATAGTAATTTATATATAGAACTGCGTCACGTTTTACTATGATCATTCTTCAGTTGACTGAAGAATCGTCAATTAAATAAGAATGAACAAAAAATAGTGGCCGTAAAAGTTTGATATTGATTCCATGCAAATACCAAATATGTATAGCTAATGAATTAAATCAGTAATGTAAAAAAACTTCATTAAACAAACCAGTTTTTAATATAGCTTAATCTACTTTTTGAACATCATAAGAATAGCAATAACTTTTCCTGACCTAACCGTCAAAAGGGTTCTTTTTTTTAAAAAGTAATTTTTTAAGTACGTACGTCCTGTAAGCAGCAAAGATTTATTATCATATACGAATTTGCATTATTGTAAGAATCAGCTGTTTTACTCAGCAGAAGTGAATCCTTTACTACTTCCATGTTCAAATAAAGCTTACAATTTTAATAAAATAACCCTGACACTTTCTCATAACAGTTGCAACTTATGTGGAATTTGATACTTTTGGTAGGTTAATCATAATGTTATAATAATTTTGAGTTTTTATTATTGAAACGTTATATTTGCAATAAATATTATAGAGCACGTTCGTTAGAACATCTAAAAATTTGTATTATAGATAATGTTAGTAATTTTTTAACATAAAAATTTGTGTTACCTCCTTTATAATATATTCATGTAATTGTTTAAGAGCTTATAGTTAATAATTTAATATAAATTTACATTAAATATATGTATTGTTTTTTGATTATATATATATTGCAACATACGACTCATTAAATTTTGCATGTGTTTCAATATCCGCACAGCATATATAAATATATATGTATATATATAGACTTCTTTGTTTATATGCCAAACTTTATATAAAAAAACAACTTGAAAATTGGTTAATATACTTATACCACTTTTTTTTACCTTTTGTTGCAATTCAATAATCATGCCATGACGTAAAGCTTCAAGTCAAGAACATAGAGAATCTGATGCAGAGCAAAAACACAGAAAAAGGGCAACTGAAACAGCTGAACAATGCCAACTTCGCCAGCAAGCTGATGCAAGTGCCCACCGTCAGCTACGAACTAACAGAGCCGAAGAAAGATACTTGCACCAAAATCAGCACGATGCTATTACTCACCTTTCGTGACAGACAACTAATCTACAACTACTTAACTTCATATGTAACTTCTCTGAAGTTTTAAATACTAACAAGCATCCTTTCCCACACCAAATTGATGTCGAAAGCAACACTAATTGTACTTATTGTAATGCCTTAAAACTGCTCACAGAAAGCCCTGGAATGTGTTGCTCAAATGGGAAGGTGGTGTTAGCTGAACTTAATATACCACCACTTTTGAATCATCTTTTTTCCAGTCACGATGATATGGCAAAAAACTTCAGAAGCAAAATTCGGCTTTATAATTCTGCATTTACCTTTACTTCTATCGGCGTTAAGATCGATAACGAGCTTGCTAATGCAAGAAATGGTGTTTACACTTATCGTGTACAAGGCTCTTTTTATCACAGAATTGGTTCACTACTCCCGCAACCTGGCTTTGACCCTACCTATTTACAGATGTATATCTATGACACTCAACAGGAACTATCTTATTGAACGAATGCAATTCCTAATTTCGGTCTTAATCTTGCAACTATTCAATCGTTAAAAAATATGCTCGACGAAGTAAATCCTTATATTATCAACTTCTGTCATATTTCAAAGCTACCTACCGAATCTATTGGAAATTTAGCTGTAATTATTCGAGCTAATATTCCTGGACTTGACTTAAGAACATATAACGCATCGACTGCTTCACAGGTAGCAGCAGTTTGGATTGATGATGAAGTGCCTTCTAATGTAATTCAAAAACGTGATATTGTATTGCATATAAATATGGACCAATTGATTCACATTTCTGAATTTAATAGATACTATGACCCTCTGGCATATCCAATTTTGTTTCTTTATGGTGAACAAGGCTGGTCTCCTTGTCAAATCCCATATAGAGGCGTTTCTTTAATACCTGATGACAACAATATTGAAAATTCTGATCTTGATGATGAAATTAATGAAGTTTCGAATGATGATAATAATGACAATTCAGAGCCAGAAACTAACCAAACTAGAAACAATGAAAATTCCAGCGTAAAGAAGCGTAGAAAATTCGTGAGCACAATGGAATTTTACGCGTATAAAATTCAAATTCGACCTCAGTCTACCAATCTGCTCATACAATCGGGAAGGCTTTTCCAACAATTCATAGTTGACATGTATGTTAAAATTGAGGCGAATCGCTTAAATTTTTATCAGCAAAATCAGAATAAAATTAGATGCGATTTATATAAAGGTCTTCAAGATGCAGTTTTGCATAGTGATCCTAATTCACGAAATATTGGGCGGAGAATTATTCTTCCATCAACTTTCATTGGAGGACCTTGAGATATGACTCAAAGATACCAGGATGCAATAGCTTTATTAAAGATCGGTAGACCTGATTTGTTTTTCACAATAACATGTAATCTAAAATGGCTAAAAATTTAGGCGTTGCTACTACCGGGACAAACTGCTCAGGACCAACCAGATATTACAAGTAATTTTTCTAGCGATTAGGTTTGAAATCAGTAGTTAGAGTTCAATTCAGAAATGCCGTTTTTTTAAGTTGGAGAAATTTATAAATAATACTTTTACCTATTAAGAAACATATCATTAATTATTTTTAAATAATGTATAATATTTAATAATATTGTTTACGCTTTTTTTTGCTATTTGTAGCATGAATTTTCTGAGAAAAACTGAATGAATTAAAAAAAGATCTTCTTGAACAAAGTGTATTTAGTAGTGTTGTAAGCCGAATGGTTTTAATCGGCTGGCTAAGCCAGCCAACCAAAATATTGGCTAAGCGGCTGGCTAATGGCTTACTTTACAGAATATTTCAGGACTTTCACAAAGGCTTTAACTTGTTCATCTCATTTTCTATTTTGGATTTATCGAGATTTTGACTACGTGTTCTTCAGCTGCATTAGTTAGCCGACCCTTTTATATCAGCTAGCTCAGCTGGCTAAGCCAGCTTAGCTGTGGCTGCCTTAGCCGGCTTACAACACTAGTATTTGGACGTATTATTGCGTACACATACGTAATTAAATTTCAAAAGCAAGGACTACCTAATATGCACATATTACTTATACTCCATCCAGAAGACAAACCCCAAAGCCCTGTCGATTATGATGCAATTGTCAATGCTGAAATACCTGACCAAACCATTAATCCCAGAGTATATGCAGTAGTTATTTCAAACATGATTCATGGACCATGTGGAGAGCTAAATATTAATGCACCATGTATAACTGATGATGGTACAGGACATAAGTGATGTTCCAAAGGTTTTTCTAAGCCATTTCATAATGAAACGCTCCAAAGCAAGAGCTCTTATCCTAAATATCATCGTAGACAAGATAGTAGACAAGTTGAAATAAGAGTAGGAAATCGAGCAGTCAAATTAGATAATCGATGGATTGTTCTGCACAATATATTCCTTTGCGCAAAGTACAACTATTATATTAATGTAGAAATTTGTGACAGCATTAAGGCCATTAAATACTTATTTAAATATGTATATAAGGGTCATGACAGAACGATGATTGAAGTCAGTGAGGAACAACAACAGCATGCTACTCAAGAATAGCCAGTTACCATCGATGAAATTAGAAATTTTGTAGAAGCTCGCTGGGTTTCAGCCCCTGAAGCAGTTTGGAGGATTTTAGGATTTAAAATGAACGGAATTCATTCTGCAATTACATGCTTGCAAGTTCATCTTCAAGACGAACAAATAATTAGATTTAAGGAAAATAGAAGTACTTGCTTCAGAACAGAATAAGTGCACAACACTTACTGAATACTTTAAGACAAATAAAGAAAATCCAAATGCTAGGAATTTGCTTTATGCCGATTTTCTATTATATTACACTTGGAATAAAGCAACAAAAAAATGGAAGAAACGTAAGCGAGGAGGTTGTATTGGAAGAATTTATATAGTGCATCTGAGTGAAGGCAAGAAATAATTCTAAGTTTTTCTAAAATGATAACATAATAAAACTATTATCATATGAAATATATATATTGTCTTCTTGATAAATGTTTCGCTTCCTATTCCTATTTACTTACTAATTATAACAAAAAAGTATAAGTACAATTATTAATATAGATGTCCAACTAATGTACCCAGGTGAACGATATTATTTACGATTATTATTGACAAAAGTCAAAGGTGCTACGGGATTTGACGACCTCAAATTTGTAAATGGTACTGTATGTTCGACTTTTAAGGAAAGTACACTGCGTAGAGGATTTCTTGAAAATAATGATGCCCACAGACAATATATGCTTGAGGCGAGAGAATTTCGGATGCCAAGTCAACTACAAGCTCTTTTTGTAACGCTTTTGATTTTCGGTGACATTGCTGATGTGCGCCAATTGTGGAATGAAAACTTTGATGCGATGTCAGAAGATTTTATGCATAGAGGTATTCCAAATGGTCAACCCTTGATTCAGACAACACTCCAAAGCTTGAACATATTATTGCAAAAGCATTCAAAAACTGTTACTGAATTTGATTTATCGGATTTGCTTTATGAGATCATTGAAACTGAATTGTCTACTGTACTTATTGAAGAGCTTTCTTATAACTTTACTATAGCTGACCTTAATAAAGCAAACATATTAAATGAGGCACAACGTACTATATTCGACGAAACACTTAGTCTTATAGAGCATCGCAAAAGTGGTGTGCTATTTGTTGATGGACCAGCCAGAAGTAGTAAAACTTACCTTTACGATTGTCTTCTTACACATGTATATGCCAACAATCGAGTTGCTTTAGCTGTAGTATCCTCTGGAATTGCTGCACTATTATTATAAGGTGGGCGTACTGCATATTCGCGCTTTAAAATTCCAATTGTAATGTTGGATAGAAATGCCACCTGCAATATCGAAAAAGGAAGTGATTTAGCAAATTTGCTTTATTAAACAGCATTAATTATCTGGGATGAGGCCTCTATGGTACATCGCTATGCTCCTGAAGCTGTCAACAAAACTTTGAAGAACACTATGAATAATGACCTTCCCTTTGGTAGCAAAGTGATTTTGTTTGGCAGCGATTTTTGACAGATTCTTCCTGTAGTTCGTAAAGGTTCTAGGGCACAAATTATAAATACTGCTCTTAATAAATCTCATATATAGCAACATGTTCGCGTCTTTTCTTTAACGACTAATATGCAAGTCGCTCAAAATGCTTCTTATGAGGCAAAAGAATTTGCGAAATACCTACTTAGAATTTGTAATAGCACAGAACCGACAATTGAGAATAATTTGATTCGCATTCCTGACGAAATTGTTATTCATCCACAAAATGATAATGATTCCATTACTACACTGACAAATGCTGTGTATTATAATCTCTTAGAAAATGTTACAAATAGTTTGTTTATAACAGAACGTGCAATACTTACCTCTTTAAATTGCGATGTTGATGAATTAAATGACCAAATAATGGCCAAATTTCCTGGAGAACAGCAAACCTATCATAGCTTTGATTCAGTACCAGAAAACAGCCTAAATCTCTATCCTATAAAATATCTTAATTTGTTAACACTGCAAGGTCTTCCTTCACACGAAATTAAATTGAAGATTGGGGCACCAATTATATTACTTAGAAATCTTGACCCAATAAATGGACTTTGTAATAGGACGAGGCTCATATGCCACCAACTAAATAACCAAGTAATCGATACGAGATAACGATTGGTGAACATCAAGGAAAACATGTATTTATTCCAAGAATTCTGCTGCAACCGTCTGAAGAGGCAGGTCTCTCATTCGTATTATTAAGAAAACAATTTCCTATAAGGCCTGCTTTCGCTTTGACCATAAACAAGGCCCAAGGGCAAACATTATTTTATATTAGTCTCTACCTTCCAAGACCTGTTTTTTCACATGGTCAGTTGTATGTAGCTATATCAAGAGTATGTGAAATGCGTAACCTAAAGGTATTAGTAAAAAACGGCCGAATTCAAAATAGAGTTAGAACTTATACACAAAATGTAGTATTTAGGGAAGCTTTACTTTTATAATATGCTTTGTACAAATTGAAACTGACTACGTGTTGCCTTTATTATTATTTATAAGTAATTATATTATTTTTTCTTACTACATAATGAACAAGAAATGATTCATGTGGTCATCACTTTTGCTTTGACTTAATTTTAGGCAGCTTGCCTGTATTAACTTGATTTAGTCTGCAATTATAATTTAGCTAAAATTATTTTTGAAAATTTTCACGGTAAAATTGATTTATAAAGCATTTTTTTAATCGATCGTCTATAATTTCGGCAGTAAAATTTTTAATTCGATTGCATCATGACATGTCATAACACAATTATGACAAATCCATATTTATATTTATATATGGAAATTTTTTTTAACACGGGTCAATTTACTAAAT